TTAAATTACAACACCGCAGATACAAGCGATCTCTCTGCAGAACGAAATCATGCAAAAACGCATGATCGCACTGGCAAGCCTGGTGCGTCACAGTCTGGATTGACAGAAAAGCACTAATGGCCACGATTCGCAACATTTTAAATCATCACTTTTATGAAAGTTTTGTGTTCCTTTTTTGCATATTTATGCAGTACGAAGATGTATATTGTGAATACTCATGATGTGTATGTAATCGTCTGCCCGTGTATTTCAACTCTACAACCGGGCTGGCTTTGACATCGAAATTTTGTGTCCCAGAGATGTGGTACCAACCTTCAAGCATGTTTGAACCCCAGCTACGGACATCTGAAAATTTAGGAACAAAAAAGCTGGCGAGCGGAAATTTTGAAGGGATGTCTCCTGTCGGCGTGCAATTTAAAGTTTTCAGGTTTGGTTCCTAATTGCGTGCTGTTCTAACGTGCGCACAAGTAAAATTTTTGGCGGGAAAATTGCTAACTCAGGGACCAAAATAGCAAGGTCATTCTCATCGAGGTCAACAAGAATTATTCATTCCCCTTTATGCAAAATTTACGGCGTTTTATGGTGAATGAATAAGTTGAATGTAAAGGGCAAACAGTTCATACTGTTAGCGGCCTGAATGCTTCGAGTTTAGAGCAAAAACGCATGGTGCTTCGCAGCCTAAGTTTTTTTAGCCACCATCATAACCAGCATTGGCACCATTTCTAATTAATCATTCTTCATTAATCACTTAGTTGTTTTCAGCGATAGTGTGTAAATTGGTATCTATCCTGGGGACCATTCTTGGCTATATGACGTATCGTCCCAACGACCTGGACAACAACATCTCGGTACAGACAACAGATAGTCGTGGACCACTTTCGCTCACTGTAAACGATGATCGACCGCCAGACGAAATGACCAGATCATTTGAGGTCGACAACTGAAGCGCAAAAACTGGTGTCAGATCGCTCTGAAAAAAATCAACGGCTGAGAACCGATGTAGCGTGATGGAAAATCACAGGCAGAAACCAGCATGTGGAATGAGCGAAACACAGACACTTCAACTTGTTCTTACTGCCATTGGCTGCCATATTTCACAGATAAGAAAGGACAAAAGACTTTCTGGAATAAATGACAGCCAATGGCAGTAGGAAGGAGTTGTGAAGGTAGAAAATACGCTTTTTGTTGATGATGAAAATGAAGGCTACAAGTTGAATAGCGCGTTCTTCTAGTGTAGTTCTTTTCGGAGACCTTTTGAAAATAAAAAGCTTGCGTTGGCCTCTAATTTTGGGCAAGACATGCATTTTGGAATTGCCTCTCACGTCGGTCAATTTAAAAAAAAAACAATATACTACTTCTTGATTTGTTGTCGGCTTTACTGTATACTATGTTTACTTCAATTTTTCGATCACTAGCATTTTATAGTTTGGCTGTCCAGTCATGCAGCTGGCAACTTTTCTACTTGCTTTGACGCGCGCAGAAGGTTGCTTTGCCTAGTGGTCAGCCTGTTGGTGATTCGTTCCATCGCTTGAAGATACCTCCTGGAATACAGTATAGATTTTAATGCATTTGCTACATTTTAGGCTTTACCATACTCAGATGAGTAACTCCACTTAAAATGGCAAAAGAAGGATACACCTCTGTCTGGTGATCTTGCTGCTTGATTTCAATTAATAACGTATGCCCCAGAGGTGACTGTTGCTTTTCCGCTCAGCTTTTTTCTCCCTGTTAAACTAGCCTCATAGCCCAGATTGATGATTACTTTCTCTCAAGCTTAGTGGTTTCAAAAGATAAAGAAAAGGCTGTATTCTGTTCGGTCACTTGTGGCTTTTACTCTCCTTAATAAACGGGTTTCAGCTGTGACTTTTTTTTTCTGTCGAATACCCAGTTGTTTGTAAATAATTCTTACGTGATGTCTTGATTTTTCGAAGTTGTTTTATAATTTTTTCCGTGATTTTGGTCCAAATACGGCAAGTGGGGAGCGAATTATTCAGGAGAAATGCTGAATGTTTTTTTTTCTCTCACTGTATATCCCGCACATCATAATCAGCCGTCTCATCTGCAACGGACTCACCG